TTTTGGGGGGGGGGAATTTTGATTATGATTTGTATAATTAAATTTGAAGGTTTGTGATGTTAGCATATTAATAAAATAAAACTTCCTGGACATTATCCATCGTCTTAATTTAATTATATCGTGTTATATTGTAATTATATTAAGAAGATGGGTGATGCCCAGGAAGTTTGTTATTTTAATTATTTATGTACTTTGTATGCATATAGTGATTCTGATTGCACTTGTTTTTTGTTATTTTCTGATTTGTGTTTTTGGAGTGTTAATTTCTGCATTTCTCTGTTGTTTATCTGTGCATGTTACTGCATTCACTATGTTAGAATGACGTGGTGTGGTTGGAATGTTTTAATTGTAAACAAGCTGGGTAAATACTTACTACGTCCAAATTTTGTGCAAAGTAATATCTGACACCCAACTCCTGGCACTCCTGATCATTGTACGCTATGCATAACATTTCTGTATGTGATATTTATTAATGAATAAGACTGCATATTTCTGCCTTCTCTCTTTTTATATTATTAACTTCCTGATATATATATATAAGCATGACTCTTGTCTTTCCATTCTCAGACTTTTAATATTAACTCATGGATGCATGCATGTAGAGGAGACAGGGTAGTGTTTGTAAATCTACTATATGGAACGTAATTCATTTCACAGCCTAACATGGAAAATAAAGTCAATTAAATTAGTATTCCATTGAATTGCTTTCATCATTCATATTTCCCTCGAAATTGTCTATCTTTAATGTAACTTTTTGCTCTCATATGAATAAAATTAATTTTTTCTGCCCTTTATAAACTTTATTATAGATTTCTGTGAAGATAATTTATTACAGTAGTTACAACAGTATGAAATATTAATTGAATACATTTTTTTACCCACAGCCTCACTTCAGTTTCACAAGAACATATTGAAAAGATTTTTATTGGAATTGTCAACTCCCAGCTATTCCTTCTACATGCATGTCTGTATTTCATAAGCAGCATGTGTTTCACATGTGGGGTCTTATGAGAATTTTTTTATTCATAAAACACTCAAAAAAATTTAATAATTTTCTTCCCAAATTTAAATCCTTTAACACTTCAAGCTAAGGATGAAAACAATTTAATGTAATTTATAAATATAAACTAATGTAGTTACATTCCCACCTGTTCAGCTTTGTGCTTAATGTGAAACATTATGGATGATTATCTGATTGTGGAATGGAATTGTGTGTCAGTAAGACACTTTGAAAGTCTCAGTATTTCCTTTTTTAACTTTGCCTTGAATGACCAAAGCGTATGAACAACCACGTATTTTCTCCACATAACAACTAATGTGCACCAACATTATATGGTTATGTTTTTTAAATACAGAGAGGAATATTTGACAACTGTAATGAAGTTGTTCTCTCTTATATTGTGCACCTGTAATTCTAAAATAGTTTCGGTATGAGCATGTATTCCTTCTCGTCATTCATTTCCCAGTGTTTTGTAATTAACGTTGTGCCAGGTGTTGTTTGATATTTCTACTCATTACTTGTAAATGTATGTGTTTTCTTACTCATGTTAATGTATTAACTATATATATTAAGTACAGTATTAATATATCTTGGAATTCCTTACTCACTACAGTTTTTCTATAACAGTTTTTATATAAACATTTTGAATTGCAAAAATGTTTTATTTTGCAAATATATTGGAGTATTACTGTCTTAAATCTGTGCACTTGAATTGTTATTTATATACTGTTATTGCAGTAATAAATGCTTATAAAATAAAATAATTTAAAATTCTTCTCAGCGTGTCAATCCGTAATATAATAAACCCATAAAATTAATTCGTTCACTACTTAAAGGAAGTTCAAAACATCATCCGCAATCAAGGATTAGAATGTAAGCTGTTTCTGCTCCAGCATTTTTCTGACCATCTATTCCTTAGTATACCTGTTGACTTTTTCCTCTAGGACGGTATGCCCATGCCCGCCTTGGCAGTGTTGCGCCATTTGTTCTGTATCTTACAGGTGTTGATTTCTGTACTCTTAAATCTTGTCATGTAGATTATCAAGCTCCAACTTTCTCAATACAAGCTGATCTTACTAATGGCTGTAGACCAGGGGTTCTCAACCCATGGGCCACTTGCAGCCTTCCAATGTATTTTGTGTAGCTCACATACCTTTGTTGCAAAAATTATGTCACTCTGTGATGAAAAATAGTTACCTGATAATCAGAAGATGTTTTGTAAGGGTCATCAGTATTTGTCAGTGCTTTTCACTGTGCGCAACTGTTCAACTTGGAGACAAGCTGTCAAAACTAGAATGTGTCTTACTGAGTATCACTTCAAGAGATGCATAGAGACTTTATAATAAAAAAATGGTATTGGAAGATTACATAAGTAAAAGTAGTGAGAAATATCTCATTAGTGACTGATTTTGTTAAGTAAAATTATTTAATAATCTGTGAACCTATTTGTAATAGCAAGTAGCATTTTTAGCAAATTCTGTTAAGTTTAAGTAAGTAAAATCGTCCCTTTTAACCTTTCAGTACAATTCTGTTAAGTTTAAGTAAGTAAAATTGTCCCTTTTAACCTTGCAGTATATGAGTCATAAAACAAGGATGATTGTGGCTATTGGTGTTGACAAGGTTGAGAACCCTGTCTCAGGCTTTCGATAATAAAACCACTGTTAATGCACTGATGATAAGATGTTGTAGGTACATACTTCAGTCCTTATGCAACTGCATCCCATGACTGTTCTCGGAATGTTTCATCACAAGTTGTGCTGTAACTAGTCTGCATTTCATTCTTGTGATGGGAAGATGTTCTCAATTGAAGAACACGTGTTTCTCATTCAATGCACCATGACAGAGTTTTTCAAGGAGTCACAGAGGTCATTTTGGAACAAATATGATGGTCAGCTAACATCACTGCAATGCTGTATTCAAAAATTGTTGACAAATTGGGAACAACAGGAACCCTCCTGGATACACCGCATCAGTAAGTAATTAATGTATTGCATATTATATTTAATGTCAGTATCCCCCATTTTGTTACATCCTTCAAGACCTTACTTTTATCAGATCCTGTTGTGTTCACATCCAGCATTAGTAAAACCCTTCATGGAAAATTTTATCTTGACTTATATCTTAATAATTGCCTCCTTCATGGAAAATTTTATCTTGACTTACATATTAATAATTGCCTTTTTTAATATTGATATAGACAATTTATGTATTTTTTAATATTTTAAGATATTTTAATTTGTATCTACAAAACAAAATATTGACCCCACAGTTGTTTATAAATTCATACTATAAGAGGAAGGTAGAATAAAGAATTCATTAGTGCCTTTTTACATTTATTACCTTCTGATGATGACCTAAGGGTCGAAACATGTGGGTTCAGTAAAACATTTGTAGACTTACATGTAATGTTGATAACTGATTCATGTTAGTCTTATGAACACAACAGGATACACAAACTAAGGATATTATAACCTACATAATTATTAGTATTTCTGAATTTTGTACAATGGCTAATATTCAGAATAGAACACAACATTTCAGAAAATGGATGTTTCTGTCCTTAGAAACACGGGAAGTTCCTACTAATTCCGAAACAAACTGTTCTGTTCATAATGCTAGACAATGGCTGAGTCCAGGAACCCATTAACACTAATTATAATACACATGTCAGACCTCTTTAAAACTAGTATCTGATTATGCCATGCAAAATGTTTAAATGCATTACATGTTTGTAAATAAAATATGTTTTTGTGTGTAGAAAGGTGGACAGCTGAAGTATTAAGAAAACTATGCCATGGTAGAATACATAATAAAATTCTCTGCCCTGATCAAGAACATGGTTGAAAAGTAGGAACATGATTATTAATGACATTAACAATTCTCTAAATTTGGCTGCAATGTTAGAAAAAAATGACAGTTCATAGTTTTCAATCTTCATTAGTTACTTCATATATCAACTAGGTTATTGCAAAAGACATGCATAAATTTACTGAATATGAATTTTTTAAAATTTAATTTATTGAATGCATCATTTTGTATTATACAAAAGGTTTTATGGTACCAATGCTTTCTATCTTTTTACTTTTAAATAAATATTTCCTTGCTTATGTGTATTCTGCTGATTTTTTTATTATCAGCTGGAAAGCATTTGGTCAACTACATTAACACATATTTTAAGAGATATGTATTATTTTCACCCGTCCCATCCACAAATTCTTGCCAAGCAGTTCTCAGTACATTGTACTTTAGTCTTGTCTAACAGAGATTATGTGTAGAGTTATGATACTATTATGTGATCTACCATGATGGACAATGTGATGGGATACACTGAGGAAGGGACTGGAACTGGTGTTGACAAATTTTTGTTAATCTCAGGAAAGCAGAAGTTTTGGAATAATTATAACCACAATTAAGATTTATTTTTGTGTTGTGACTGGTCATATGGATCACTCTTGGTTTCAAGTTATTGAGCCAAAAGCATTTCCGTATTAAAAATTAGAAAGTAACTGACTGTACTTGACAGCGCAACCATAAATGAGGATCAGGTATGTTTTAAATAAAATTATATCCATATATTCCTGCACAAATTTCTCTTATGAAAAGTGAACAATTAATTCAAACATATTCCAAGAGCTGCAATTGGTTCATTGTAATATTTTTTACTTTACATTGGAGCAAGTAACATCAACACTGCATTCCTTCTAGAGAGAAAATGCTAGTCATTATTACACATCAGACATGCGCTACCATTTCTTACCCCATTTACCATATGATCAAGCCAAATGAAAGTATGTTTACTGACTTAATCAGCATATGAGATAATTTAGCTGCTTTTTTTCTTTATAGTATGATTCCCTATTGATTTCCAAAACTCTTCTTCGATTCCCTATTGATTTCCAAAACTCTTCATTTTTTTTTTTGTTTCCATCTGAACTGTTCTTCAGCTGTCATGCAACCGTTTGAAGCAATGGAACAGCATAAAGTGAATATTTTCATTTATTACATTTGAGAAATTATTCACAAAGTATAACAGAAATCCAGTAGATTGTATACAATATACTCTTACCGTTTCAAGAATCTCATCTATACCATACAAACACAGAAAGGATATATCAGAAACAACTATAGAGTTACATAAGTGTTCTGCCAAAAAGAAAATAAGGCCCTGACTTAGAACTATTAATGTAATTAATTTAATTTGATATTTAAGGGTTCAAAATCAGGTTTTACTGCAAAGCTTGTGGTATGCACTTGCATGAAGTGGCTCTCCAATGCACAAGTACTTTACCACTGTTGTCAGTGTGTAGTCTCATGAGTCTTGGGTTATGATTGTAAAGCTTAAAGCTGTATACCAATATTATTTTGGATACTTTCCACTGTTTTGGGTATATATGGCATTTTAGGAATTGGCTCTACTTCTATCTTCAGGTGACTGGATTACAATATATTGACACATGTTTTATTATATTTTGTTTAAGAGTTTGGTAGCAGTGGTTGCATTCAAACCCAGGAACACTGAGCACAGGCCACCATACTCGTATTCGACAGGCTTCACGTTCAGTTGTAACCATCATTCATCTTTAAATATACAGTCAGTCAGTATAACAACAACGTATCACCTGAAGATGGGAGTACAGTCAACTCCTAAAACATTTTTCTGTATATTTAGTGGAGCAAAAACAGGGGACATGTCCAAAGTAATAGTGGTGTAATGAATCAGCTAGTCAAAAACTCTTAGGGATTCATTTATAAAGGTAATATTATTATCCTACACTCTCCAGTAAACATTTACTGTCGTTTCATTAGGTCTGTTTGAAGACTGGTGTAAAACTGAATTCTGTGTGAATCATGGCCGATAGTATGGGGTTCTACTGGACATTGTGTATGTACTCATTGGAATAGCAGCCTGCTGACTCTTCAAGGTTCCACTCGATATATCTTGCTCAAAGTCTACGTCATAGTAAATGCCACTCTGATTCTGTAAACAAAATAAAATAAACATTTAAGGTTTATTAATTTAAAATGTTTCTTTGACCATCATTAAGGCAGTTCATTCAGTATTTATACTAATCTGCATGTCATGTTTAATAAAAATGTTTCTTTGACCATCATTAAGGCAGTTTAATAAAATAGTTTAATATACTGTAATGATATATCAAATTGTAGTTTAAAAACTACATCTCTCAGTGACCTGCATTTTTCCTGATTATTACTGTCATACTTTAATTTGCAATATATTGCATGGATAGGCTCTCAGTATCTTAATTTGATGTACAGAAGATTTTTTATAAGGGCTAGTGCTGTTAAAATTATCAAGAATTGGTGGGACTTTAGATGACAAGCATTCAAAGAGTAAATTATATTTTTGTTGTTCACAGCATTAAAATTCATGTGAGAGTAACATTCAGTACATTACAGGAGGATGTTATTTATTTCAAAATTTTATGACTTCTTGCAGATAAACTTACTGCAACAGAAGATCTACTTTTTGGTCGTGGTACATGGAAGTTCCTTCCCAGCAGATCTGCTCTATCTTCTTCCTCACTACTTGTGGACTCTACAGTTCTATCCGGAGTTCTCATTCCGTAGGAACTTAGGGCCCCATGATTGCTGAGGGCCCCAAGTGTGCTGAGTGTTGGTCCTCCATGGATACTCATGGCTCCGGCGTGACTCATGTTGGTAAGTCCCAGACGGGGAAGTGGCACTGGTGGTGCTCCATGGGGTAGAGTACCGCTCATTGTGAGACTCGGATAGCCAAACATGGCCGATGAAGGTCTAGTGGGCCCTGGTACAGGTTCAGGCTGCTGACCAAAGAGATACAATGTGAAAGGTTAGGTTATCAGTATTTAGTACACTACAGTCAGTTTTGTTATAATATATGTGATCATTATGTAATTTAATTCTACATGATGGCAAAAATGGAACTATGTTTCTTATTGTGGGCCTGTTTTGGACATAACACAGTCAAGTTTATGTGGCACCTGAGCACAGGAAACCATGGAGATATGGTGTTTATAGTATTCACTTCATTCTCATTTTAATTAATTTTATTTCAGTAAATTTTTACTTTTACTACATACAATTTTAAAGTTTGCTTTTGTTTGTTGAAACAGCATTCACTATATTGTGGAAATATGTTTTCGTATCATTTGACAACTATCAGGATCAAAATCTGTAACATTTCCTACGCCTGTATGTGCACATAAGCACTAAAAGACTAACTTTTTTGGTGTTTGGTGAGGTTCAGTGCTGCTAATTCAAAAGCCCAACATTATTTTATCTACTTCCCACCTTCATAGCTAATATCACTAAAATCCTTCATAATGTTATCCTCCAGTATCATTCTTTGTCTTCCAAGTGGTTTCAAGAAATGTCTCCATCAAAATCTGTGTGCATTTCTTGCATCTCCCATAAGAACTGCTGATCCCATCATAACCACCTTTATTTAATAATCACTGTTGTTTGAAAGAAATCATAAAGAGACAAAAATAATTAACTATAGACTTGGATAGCTGAAGGCAGCCTTAAAAGTTGGAAGAAACATCCAAACCTTTCAAACAGCTTGCATAAACTGTAATAGGAACCTAGTGGCAAATAATTTGTAAACAAGGCAACATGTTAACAGTGCACAGTGTGCCTGTTATGGACTGAAGTAACTTAAGGGGCCATCATAATTGTAGTACTCACAGCATAATGGTTGGCTTGTACTATTACATCTGCAATCTGAGCCCACCGCAGTCTATCTTCTAGAGAAACTTGATAGGGTGGTGATCCAACAGTTGGAGTCTTCACCGTACTG